ATTGTCTTGTTGTGAGAAATAATATGCCAATATTAAGTCAGTTTTTCCTTAAATCAAGCAAAATAACCTGCCAATGGGGTAAGCAAAATAATCTTACGTCAAAAGAAAAAACAAGATTATTTTGCTGACCCCATTGGCAGATTATTTTGCTTGTTTTAAGTAAAAACTGACTTAATATTGGCATATTATTTCTCAAAACAAGGCAATATGTTTTGCTTGTCTAAAAAAATGCTTCTTGATATATGAAATTTTAGATATTTAGACTAGAAACAAGACAAAAAATCTAAGAAAAGCATTTTTTGCAGTGCACTGGCTCGCATGGTTCAGGATCTGAAAAGCTACTCAGATGAATTTGCTTTTCAGTGTTTGGACTCTCAGTAATGACTTTAAACCACACTGAACTGAGCTAAACTGAACTGAACTTAAACACTGAAAACTGAACCACCCTCATCCAGTTACTATGACCATTTATGTGAAGCTGCTTTGACGACATTGTAAAAGCGCCATACAAATAAAGCTGAATTGAATTAATATGGACCTTTAAGGTACAACCCCAATGACAGCTCGCATCCCTTTATTTCTGAAGTGTCCTTACTGTTCCTTAAAACTTGGATACATTTCTCCTAAATTTATTTTCCCCAACATATCTCCCATTTGTGATCAGTGCAAATCAGAAGAAGCTGATTTAGCTCATTGTTTTGTATTCTGTCATGAAATACAGGGATTCTGGAATGAGGTCTTTAAAGTGCTTTCAGATGTTCTTGACCAACATATAGATCCTGACCCAATGCTTATTATACTCGGACATTCTGATTATACATATTCATTGAGCAGTCCACAACAGAAATTCCTTGCACATTGTTTGATTACAGCCAAAAAGCTGCTATTATTGTATTGGAAAAATGTTAATCCTCCAACTGCCAAACTATATGGCTTGAAGAATTGACATCTACTCTGCACCTGGAATGAACCAGATTTATTTTAAAAGGCAACATTGGACAATTTCAGAAAATTTGGGGCCCTTTCTTTTGTTACTTCATGGGGAATTCTTCCCCCCAAAGCAATGTATTGTAACTAAAAGTTGTTTTGATTATCACTGTAGTGTATACTTGTTGTTTGTTTTGTTTTTGTAAATGTATGCATATCAGAATACTAATCCTGGAATCTGTGATTATTATAAGTTTATTCAACGACCAAATAAAACTGATTTGACAAAAAAAAAAAAAAAAAAAACTTGGATAAGCAACATTTGTCAGGTAGTAAAGTCGGCGTTTCATTCAGAAAGATGAAGAAAAGGCTTTGCGTAGAGTTATTAGAATCAGACTCTGGGAGGGGCGTGGTTAATTATAGCTGCTTTTCCACTATCGTGCCAAACCGTTCTACGAACACTTCGGTGCGGTTACGGTTGTTTCTCCACTGAGCCTGGAACGGCGCGGCACGATTACAAACCGTTCTCGGCACGGTTATACAATCGTGCTGAACTGTGCCGACAGATTCTGTGTGTTGATGTCGCGGCTCTGTTGCTAAGCTACCACAGCTGGCTCAGCAGAAGCGCTAGTCATCAGACATCCTCAATAAATACAGTACATTTAATATAAAATAATGATCCAGGTCTAAACGATACAGTTTGAAAAGGGTTTTAAAACCATAGAGCAGTCTCTGGCAGAGAAGTGAATGACTCATCACTCTTACGAAGATATTTTATTAAAGTTATTATTTCATGGACTTGTCTTGAATACAGACCTACTTCGCCTGCCTGAATGTGAGTTTAATGCACGCAGCGCTGTATTTCCAGCCTGATCTCACGAGAAAATGTAAGTATTTTACGTTTTGGCAATTTAGTGGCTAATTCGTACGAATTCGTATGAGTTCAGTCGTAAGAAAATGTACGATTTTAAAAAGGAGGCGTGGCACCTAACCAAACCCACACACCCTCATTGGGGGATACGCAAATCGTACTAAAATGTACGAATTTGTACGAATTGGCCACTAAATGAAAAAGTTACGAATTGCCTTGAGATTGTGTTGGTATTTCACAGCACAAAACTCGCTCTGATCCGGGAGAGACATGCCAGCGACTTGCGCTGCTGACTTTTTTTTCCTGCTGCGCATCGAATAAAGCGAATAAAGACAGGCTTAGCATCGTCGATGTCCAAATTCCACAACAACATCACTATATCCATGGAACACGAGCTTGCAGACTTTTTTAACAACGAGGAAATAATTGCACTTTTTTATTCAAAGCCAGGACAGCTTGTTAATACCGGCGAGACCACCTGAAGGACGGCGTGTTGTAATGTCCAAAAGACTTTGCTTGAAAGCTTTAGGAAGCGGCACTGTAACTGTCCAAGGTACTGTTGTATGATTTATATTATAGCATATGCACTAATAAACAAGTCAAAAGAATGAATGAATTCTAAGCAGAGTTAGACATCACTGTCCTAATGAAATCAATGCATGATCATATTTTATTTTGGTTAAATAAGCGTGATCTAGAGGCCTTTGCCTTTCATATAAGCCACTGCTGATACCAAATGATCAACTAGAAGTCATGTTATTATTGGTTGTTCCTAAAACTTGGATAGGCAGAAAAGGGTTTGCGTAGAGTTATTAGACCCTAGCAGACTCCTCCTGCTCCCCATTTCTGACGTCAAAACTGACAGCTGGAGGAGCGTGGTTAAATGTTAGCCACGCCCAATACCTCAGACAGACACACAAGCCCCTTTCACACAGTGATACCGGTAAATATCTGGAAAATTTCCGGAACGACTTTACCGGTATATTCAAATAAGCGCTGTTCACACAGGCGAGGACGTTACGGAAATTTTCCGGAAAAGAGCATTCACACATCCATTCCAAAATACCGGTAAATTCTGCCATCATTCACCACAAATGAGCTGTAAACGGCTGCGCTTGTGTTTGTAAACATTTGACTAAATTACAAACTCTGTGGATGATCAATATTGTGAACAACTTTCGCAGGATCACTTTCGCATGTCGAGATGTACATGATATGTGTGTGTGCAGGCGCTCACAGGCTGTTTCACAGGCGCACGCAAAGCTTGAAGGTAAACAAACAACGGCTCATCATAAGCATCTCATCGATGATTATTTACACAGTTGGCATTAAGAAGAACATATAAACGAGATCTGACTAACTTCTAGCAGCTAAATGTGTCGGGGAAAATATTCAAAGGCTTTTATTCTCACAAACCGCGCGGACGTGAATGCGTCTGACTGTTGTGATTGGCTAAAGCAGACGTCTCACGTCAGCACGTTCTAGACGTGCACGCGCTTATTACGGGAATCTTCCTTCTGCATTCACACAGCGCAGCATTCCGGCAAATTACCGGTAATGTTACAACTTCTCCTTCCGGAAAATAGCCAGAACGAATTTACCGGTATTTTCAAAAAGGGCCTGTTCACACATACAAGCTTTCCGGAAAATTGCCGGTAATTTTCCGGAAAGGTCTGTATGTGTGAAAGGGGCTATACACACTCATTTAAACATTAAAAAAGGCCATCTTGGTAGCTCCAGTGAGAAATGAGTTGTAGCAGTCAAGTAAAAAGGAGAGTTGTGTTGTTATTATTCCGGCAGAATGATGTTTGTTTGTCCTGTGTGTCTCTTTCTCTCTCTTCTGTGGGTTAATTGTAGATTTAATAAGATAACTGTGTTTAATGACTGCAGCTGTGTGATGATACAGACCTGGAGATCATGTAATTACACTGACAGATTATCATCACTGGATTGTGTTTGTGTTGTGCTGAATTTAAGCGCTCAGATCTGAAGCTGATGCTGCTGAATATTTATATTTGCTGTTGCACTGATTTGTTTCCCTCGCATCTGTTGGCACCAAAACATCTTCATTTAGATTTCGTGGACAATTTTACAATTGTAGTTATAGTTTTATAACTGTGTTTAAAAAAAAATCCAAGTTGCATGATGTAAACTGAGAGCAAGTGTCAGAATCGAGGTGTGAAAGTCCTAAACTCTTGATCGTCCTGCTTTAATGGAGCTGAATGTTTGTGTGTGTCTGTAATGTGGCCGTTGGATCTGCTCGGCTGTGTTTGTTATTGTTTTAACTGCTTTGTAAATACCCATAAAACCCAGTAGATAAAACGTTATGACGCCTCAGTCTGTCCAGAGATGCGCTGACAGAGCAGAAAAATAACAACATGGCTTTAACCCATGCGTCTGTTGCATTGTGGGATTGCTTCAGAGCTGCAGGAGAAATCCACTCTCAGCAAAGCATGAATGAGTTATGATATGATATGATATGTTGTTTTTATTGCCTGATGAATTTGCATGATAAATGTCGAGATCTTGAGTGTGTTTACTGACTGTAAATGGAGGAAACAGGAAAACAAACACAATGTTTCTGGATTTGACTGTGGTGTGTGTGCTTTATGAATGAAAGCTGACTCTCTCTCTGTGTGTGTGTGTGTGTGTGTGTGTGTGTGTGTGTGTGTGTGTGTGTGTGTTTGCTTGTGTTTCTGCAGAACTCTGAGTATTATCAGCAGAATCTACACATGTATGAGAAGGAGGCGGATAAAGCAGAGGCCACGGTCAGGTGAGTACAAATGTATGTGTTATTGTAGATGCATATACTAATTACACTGAGGAAAAAGCTACTGTGTGGGAGAAATTTTGTTTCTATGGGTATACACTATATAATGATACCTTTTAAACATCTCCAATTAGGGCTCTAGTGTACAATTTTGACCAAAACAAACTACTTTTAGACTTTTTTTTTTTTAAATTTTGTTATATAATTTAATTTTTTGTTCTATTTTTTATTTATTTTATTTTTTGTTATGTTTTATTTATTTATTTATTTTTTTATTTTATTAATTTATTTTATATATTTTTATTTTTGTTTTGTTTTATTATTTTTTTAAATTAATTAATTTTGTTTATTCTTTTTATTTTTGTTTTGTTTAATTATTTATTTATTTTTTATTTATTTTCGTTTTA